TTTCTCGCTTTCTTTGCTTCACAGCCAATGATTGTTGGTCTCTATTCAAATATGAGCTCGTTAATGAGTCAACGGCGGAAGATGATTTTGTTGTTACACCTGAGATAATCGACGATGCCGCTGACTTTATTGTATTATGAATATGTCTGTTATATCCAGTGATATTTTGTAATTGTTGATTATTTCGTGCTTCACCATAGGTATCTTCGTCCCCTTCTTCATCGTCGTTCGACGATGTTACTTGTTCCGATGATGATATCGTTGGCCCAATATTGTTTGGATTCGTTTGTACATTTGTCGCTGCTTTTGCCATACTCTGTGCTTGGTTTTTCAGACATTGTATAAGACGATCATGTAAAAAGTCATTGAGTAAATAGACAAAACTGTAATTTTTTACACGTGAACAATGACCAATGGCTAATGTCGCATGGTAACCGCAACGTTCTTTTATTTGTAATGTATAAACGGGACGTGCAAGCATTTCGCGAACACTTTGATGATTAATTCGATTCATCGTATCTAATCGGCGAAGTATTGCAGCCACTAATGCTTCAAATGATAAAACACGAAATAATCTACGAGTTGTGGGTATAGTTGTATTTGTGCCTTTTTCATAAAGCCAATTTAGCAACCATTTCGTTTGCTCACGTTCAAATGCCGAACAAAATACTGTTATTGGTTCAACTGAGTCGTATACTGATTCTAAAAAAAGGGCATAAAAAAATTTCTCATGAAGATTCATATCTACTGAGTTTATTCATCAAACTGCACATTTCTCTATGGGAAAAGAAACATTAAATCTGATCACATCGAAAACAATCAATGAATACTATTTTGTTCAAACTGAGCATATATTTCCTCCGAATACTTTAGCAGCAGGAGAAAATGTTAATTGCAAGTAGATAATTATACTACACATTTAGAAAAATTGTAAAAAGTGTGATAAATCGGATTTTTTCTCTATATTGTTGTCCACGAAGTTTAGAACTTTTATCTTTATTAAGTAAATTTTTTGAAAATAATTAATGCGTACCTCCAATTATTTTTTCCATTTCACGCCATAATTCATCGTATTTATTTGATGCACATTTGAAATCAATATATGGAATTTGATGAGTTGCTTCAGCCGTTTCAAAGCACGAACTTGTATAGCCAACCGGGATGTGGTCACGCTTGATAAACGAATAAAATTCATGTTTGACTGATTTGTCGAAACTGAACTTCATTGCAGCTAATTCTGCCGGAATATACTCACCGCCGTCTTCTTCATCTGTTTTACAAAATATTTGAAAATTTATAAATAAAAAATTTTTTTTGGATAAATCGAATAGATCAATTTGAAGATACTGATCCAACCAGCTAGTTTCGTCTTCATTTAGTTTAATAAATTGTGTTTCTTCTGCCGATGGAATGATTGATGTTTGTTGACATTCAGATGCCAACATTTTTTCTCTTTTAGCTTGTTTGGCTCTTTCTTCGTATGGCCGCTTTTGTTCGATCGTCATTGCTTTCCATTTAGGTAAAACTTGTCCAATAATTTCTTGTATTGGCATACTACGTTGTCGAAAACTACCACATTGCTCTAGGGCAAAAAAATAAATAGCTGTTTTTGGACTTTTTTTCTTTGGTGGCATTATGTGCTCTTGTAAGAACGCAAGCGTGTGATGGGACGAAGATCTAAAATAAGAACAAAATTTTACGCGTATTCTAAACAAGAATCAAAATGAAGAGAAAAATGATACGAATAGTTAAGAACGTGGCACAATAGAACAATATAGCTAGCCCGTTTTTCTGGTAAAGAATAAAAGCAGTCATGTTATCTAAAATTGCTGATTCGAGTACCGTGTAAAAGGAATTCTACCACTTTCGTGACGACAAATTCGTGCTTATACATGGTTTAACTATATGCTTTTAGCTTATTGTTTAAAACTTTTTAATGATAAAAGAGGCTGTGAACTTGATTTTTAAAGTGTATGTGCATTGTTCGCTGCCGTGCCACTTTTTCTTCAACTTTACACGAGAAAGTTACGCAGGAATTCTATAACTTGCTTCAAAGTCAAAAGATTTTAAGAAAGATAGTATCCACAGATCTTTTACGTTATTTTTAATAGTTTTCTTCCGTTAACTGTATTTCTCATAAATCTTATTAGGTTTTTCTTTTAATATGACCAGATAGAGTTTTCATTTCACGAGCTGTATGTTTTGGATCTGGTTTGTTCCTCATTTCGATTGCAAATTTGACTAAATTCGAAAAGCTCTCAAACAGTTCTTTGGTACGGGTATGTTTAGCTTTGCAAAGCATATTTAGCTGAAACTAGATTGTTGCGAAAATGGTTTCATCGAACGGATGCACCAAAGCCATGTTTGTACCAAGTATGGCACGAAACTTCACTCTGTTTGTGAAGAAAATTCAATTTTACTGTTTATATCCTAGCTAACTCTGCCTTTTTCTAACTCAGATTAGAACCAGAGCTCTTGGAGCTGTGGGCATTCCGTCAGATTTTTAGGGAAGCTGGCGGGTGTTTCAAAGAAATTCTTAAGTCTTCTACTTAGACTTAAGTCATACTTAAGTCTCCGTTTTGTCTTAAGTTAAGCTAGACTTAATTTTGAGTGTTTCACAGAATTTCTTAAATCATAGACTTAACTTAAGTTAGACTTAAGTCCACGTTTAAGTTAAGAGTAGTCTGTACTTGTCTTAAGTTTGTCTTAACTCTTGCTGCGATTATAATATGATATAAACATTGAAGTATTAAAGGACCAACAACATTTTTTAACTGTTTTTTATTGACACTTGTATTTTGGGAAATAAATAAAAGAAATAATGGCGCTAGTTAATCAGTGACTGTTGAGAAAGGCGTTACACTGTGAAAGAAATTTTTTTGACAAATAAAACCCTATGGAAACCATGGCAGACGATTTATTGATGGCGCGTTATCGTTTTCATGAATATGTCTTGCCTCCAATATCCCCGGACTCTAGTATGTGTCTGCAACTACGAAAAAATGAAGACACTTTTAACAGCGCGAGGCTTTATACTAAAATCTTGATTAGCTACATTTCATCATCATAAAGCATTTTCGGTATTAATTCTACCCTTATACTACAAAAAGTGTGAAAAAGTTGACGTTACACTAAATATCATTTTTCAATATGCACTCGAATTTGCTTAAACACATTCCACTAAAAGAGCTCTTTCTCAAAATATAATTTATATGACCTACTTTCCTTCTCCTTTCATGAGCTGTCAGAAATTCAAATTTGTTCTAAATTTTACGTAACAAGATTTTTTTGTTCGTGAAAGCCTGGACAAAATTGCACAATATAAGAAAAACAGATTTTTCAATTTCGACTTTGTTTTAGAGAAAAATGCAGATGTTTGGGTTACAACAGTTAACAATTTTGGGCTTTCAACCCGAAATGTTCGTAGAGGATAGCCAAACATTTTTATCATAACCTGTTCACATTATGAACTTTAGTTCTTAAAAGTTTCGTTCAAATCCGTTAGAAAAAAATGTGTAGAGAGGATCCTTAAACCAACACACCACTCTGTTAAAAAGAGTTTTGTTCAACGAAACGACTCCCCATCAGAGAAAAGTTATTTAATGAATGTTGAAGAATATAGACACAAAACAGTGAATTTAGTTTTGTAGTTTACTACAAAGCTAAGTTCACATGTTCGAATCTCTATTCGTACAAAACTGATTTTGTGTTTTTCGATAGTTTTAGTTTAGAATACTATAATGGAATATTTTCCGCTTGTATTCTGACAGAATAAAGCTTATATCAACACTTTAAGTTCGTCAACTTAAGTTTGTCTCAAACTAAGATAGGACATGGACTTAAGTATAGACTTAAGTTGACGACTTAAGAATTTCTGTGAAACAACCCCCTGAACTTTAAATCAGACTCACATAATTTGAAAGAGAAATCAACGCTCTATTTTAGCCCTATTCTTAATATTCAGGTGTCAGTTATATCAGGAAACTAATTTTAATCCAAATAATTTTATGAGACCTTTTTGAATTTAGTTAAATTTATAGTCGAAATGAGGTCGAAACAAATCAGATCCAAAACATACAGTTCGATAGAGAAATGAAAATTCTATCCGGTATACTAACCATATTTTCTCAATATCAGTCAGACAGTAAATGTTTTTTTTCTCTTTTGTAAAGCATTACAGAAAGCAAGTCATCATATGGAACATAGTTTTTTGGCAACGTACAGAGTTGAGTAACAGCTTAAAGATTATTTTTTCAAATGATAATTAAGCAAAGTCTAGCTCAAACCGAAACACTTGTCTATCATTCGCGCCAATAGGGACCCCTTCTACGAAAGTGGCATAAACCAAAAACACTATGTCACTAAATTAGTTAGCTGTTGAATTTTAATTACCATTTGAAAGAAAATCTTTAAACTACAAAATAAGACGTTATTTCTATTCTACTCTATACATTGCTCGGCTGAAGAGCTATGAGTTTCTTGAACCAATTACTAGAAGACTCCGACATTGTTATCGCCTTGTCGAAGAGGATACAGTTCTTCACTAGTGCATTGCTTTAGCATATTTAAACTTATTTTATCGGTCAAAGTTTATGTCCACTGAAAACAAAGAGAACAAAAAAGCTAAAGAAATCACATATTTCCTTCAGTGGTCTAGTGTAGTATAGTATACGTTCTTTTGGAAAACACCTTTAAACAATTACTTTTTTAGTCTCATTATTCGTATATACATGAAATTCTGTTGTATCGTAACTACAGTGAGGATCACAATGAAAAGATAGCTGACACTACTTACGTTGCTTTACATTTTTCAATGTAAATATAGAAAAGAGCGCTCGAGGCATTATAAGTACTTCTTCATCGGAAAACTAAAACCGAAATATTAGTCATCTTCTTTCATATTGATGAGACTCACAGTTTCTAGATCATTGAACTATTAACTAGTGTTTTGATCTTCTCATTACTTTTTGGTACTTTGAACAATTTAGATTTGTTTTGTCATGAGTACTCGTCGAGTTTTTTTCAATAAAACACGTACCGTCGATGCTCCACCTTCTACTACGTGTAATTTGAATGAAAATACTCCTTGCGAGAAAAAACAGTCATCTCCACCGTCGATTAAAACTGTCGTCGAAATACCTGTTATTCACGAGTCTGACAATGTTGATAACACAACAACTACTAAAAAAAAATTGATATTACGCAAAACTAAACGTACAACTACAAAGAAAATTTATAATGGACCAAGAAAAATATTTTCGACAAGTTATAAAGTAAGAAGAATCAACTCGGTATAGTTTTATATACATTTTTCTTTTCAAATAAAAAAGAATAGCAATATGTATATTCTTCTTCATTCTTCGAAAACTTATGAACAAACGTCTCTTTCCCTTGTCTACTTGCTGCTTTTGTGTTCAGGCTAATCGTGCCCAATTAAATCACAAAGACTTTTTTGGTGCTGAAGAGTTTGAATTTGATGATGATAAATCATTATCTCCAGCCGAAGAAAAATCGTGTTCTCAACCAAATTATGCTAGTGAATTTCTTGATCCAAATAGTGAAGAAATCGGTCGTACAACAATGGTAAAATCAAAAAGTGTTGATAGTCTATCTGATTTTCCTTCCACATCTACAATCACAACAAGAACATCAACTACTGACACAAAATTATCGCTTTATTCTTCATCAGAAACTAATAGTCGCATTGGAGTGAGTAACACTCGAACAACTGTTACTTCTACGGCCACAAGAGTAATTGAAAATGGAAAAATGAAAATTGTTTGTCCAAGAAATCAGAAAAATGTAAGCTTTTCAAATATAGATATAAGTAGTTAAATATTCGACTAAATCTACTGAATATCCTATTTTATAGATGTTTACAGTTGTTCCAAATATTCGACAACCGACAACATGCGAAGAACTTGGTGAAACACAAAGTTATATTGATGATATGGAATATTTATTAGCTGGTTTTGAATCAACAAAACTATTGGATGATCGTTGTTTGAGGTAAAATTATTGAATCTTCAATATTAACTTTTTACATTCTTCTCATTTTTTTTTAGCGCTGTTAAATTTGCCGAAAAATGTGCCAATCCAAATTTTCGCATGCATCTTCGCACAAAAAGTGCACTTGACAAAGTGTTTGAACTATTAGCCGATGCTCCCTCTTTACCCGTAAGTTTCATCTATTATCATGCGAACAATAACATTGTGGACACGATTTTTTTTCTCTCTATAGAGTCTCAATTTGTGTACATCATTTATATTGTACGTTTTAAGTTGGGATACCCTATCGTCTGGTATTAATTCAAATACTGTTAAATTAATGTTTAAATTACTTGATTCATATTATCAGTTTAATGAGCTATCATTTGAAACTGATCGTGAATATGATAAAACTCGTCAACGTATACAAATAATTGTAGAAAAATATGCCCAAGAATCGAATGAAATATTTTATAATGAACGATTTTCGGTAAAAAAAATATCGCTTGCTTCTAAACTGTCATTGTTAAATAACATTCTATATGGTGTTTATTCAGGCGTCAGATATTTTACTTGAAACGTTTGTGAATTGTACGGGAAAAAATTTAAAAGATTGGCTAAAAAATGATATTCGCACAATGGGCGGTTTAAGTTCTACAATCGATGCTAGTATGGTTAAAAGAATGATAAAGTGATGTCAAGAAACTAAACTTGCTTTATTTTAGTTGGATCAATTGTTCAAGATTTATCTAACAATGATTATCAATGTTATCCGTTAAGTGAAATACTTATTCGTTATAGAAAAATATGTCGATATATTAAAATGTTGGAAGATCTTATGAATGGAAATAATGATAATCGTGAATATATTTCAAATTACAAACAATTTTCATTGTTTCATTCACTTAGCAAGTAAGTATAAATAAATTAAATCAACTTTTTTTGAGATATCGGAGTTTCATTAAAAAAATTTTCATTAATAGGAAGTTCATTAAAATTTTTAATGAAGTTTTTGTGCTATCAAAAACTCTAGATCACACCCATTTATCAGGAGACATTTTCATGAAATTCCCGCTACTTTTATTAAAAACTAATGCGTTAATGAAAGTTTTTTTTAATGAACGTCACTCAATCCCTTTTTTTGATATATTCTATTAACTATGTCTGTTTTAGATTACTGGATCTTTCATTGTCTTGGATGAAACAATATTGTCCTCAGGAGAAAGCTGGCGAAGGTGACATTGTGTCAAATCATCAAATAACACCAACAACAGTTATGTCAAATGCATCGTTATACGAAGTATTTTTGCACGGTTGTAAAACGATGATGTCTATTCTTGTTATTTTAACAAATGAATCCAGTATGTAGAAAAATGACTTGCTCATGTTTATTCAACAATAATAGATTATTTAAAATATAATTTCTAGAAGAAAACTGTAAACGTTTAATAGTGGACGATCGATTTTTCATAAATTTATTTCAATTACTTGTCATTGTTGAAAAAACACAAGCTAGTGATGATCGATTCGATGTTATGGCGCTGGTAAATAGATGTTATCATTTTTTTTGCTTCTGATTAAAATATCTATTTTATTTTTAAGGCATTGAATCTTTTAATAAATCTTGTACAAAATAGCAATGATATTTATCAACGTTTAATGGACGATGATATGCCTGGTATAACTGGTACAAATAAAATGAAAATATATCAATTTATGGCAAAGGTCAGTACTGACAGGCAAAATGATTAATTATTGTTTCATGATTAAATATTTTGATATCGAATTTTAGTTGTTTTGTGACAATGAAGCATCAGCTGCTAAAGCTGAGAGTCAAGAAGAAAATGATTGGATGGAAATTGAACAAGATTCATTTAATCCGGAACTTCGTGTAACAACTGAAAGTCGAGAAAATTTTAATCGAGGTATACTAACCATATTTTCTCATATATCAGTCAGACAGTAAATATTTTTTTCTCTTTTGTAAAGCATTACAGAAAGCAAGTCATCATATGGAACATAGTTTTTTGGCAGCATTTGCTGGTGTTATTTTATCGTTGATATTATTAAAAGATAAAGTATGTCTACTAGTCGAAATGTTTTATCTATTTTATTCAATATTATTGATCGTTTTAGACACATGTCGATCGCATTAGAGAGTTAATGCCATTGCAAAATTTTAATACAATGGCATTTATATTGAAAAAGTTTTTTCTATTCATGAACTTATCGGTAAGTACCTATGCAGTTGAAATGCGTGTCTTATGCTTTTAAATGATGCTAAAAAATTTTGATCCCTCTCTCGGTAAGTCAAAGGTAACAGAGATAGGAAAGGATCAATAATAACATGAATAACCTATGGCAATTAAATGTATACTTTCTATCACAATAATCTACTATTAAACGTTGAAAAGAAGAACTTTCTAATATTAAGTTGATCATATAAATTTTTATGTTTTGTGTCTTTTCATAGAATGCATTCACTCAATCTGGTGTTAAAATATTAGAAGAAATTGTTGAAATGTTGCTATCGTTATGCTGATGTCTGTTCAGAGAATATCATCAATAATCACACTTTTGAGATAAAAACAGACTTGCTTATTTATTTCTCAATATTAAGGGTTATTGAAACTCTCTGACGTATACATATTTCGTACGCGTGTTGTATAGTTGTGTATTTTGTTGTTGTTTTTTCAATTACTGTTGTTTCTCTCCTGTATTTTTTCTTTAATGTAAAATCTCAAATTTACCAAAATTTGTTTTTCTTTGTTATCACTGTTTTTTTTTAGACAAAAATGATACTCATCCTTCTCAGAAACAGTTTGTTATCATACGCATTACAAACTTTTTCGTTTGTTTTTTACAAGATTATTATGAATTTATTATTAACAACCGATCGAATTAGAATGACATATTGTTTATTTTCGTCCATATAACACAAGATTCTTTTGCTCTGTTTATCGTAGTATTAGACATTTAGCTGGAGAAAATGAATGAAAAAAAAAATAAAAATTAAATATGATTAACAATCACAGTAGAAATTGACATTGAATATCATTGGCCTTGTCGCTTCACAACAGTACGCCGACATTTGCCTTTGTATGTATATGAAAAATGACTTTTTCGTGTAGAATTCTTTATCTTTTTTGTATATATATCACGTTGACAATTATGCTCGTATATATTTTCTTTTGTTTTGTTCAAAATATATGAAGCATAACTTGTCAAAGTTTTCCATCTTGTAATTAAAAAGACTTTAGCGAATATTATCCTTATCTTTTTTGACTGGAAAAACAATAGAATCTGTAACTATTGGATACTGAAAGCATCTGTTGTGAGATATGGAAGTTTGGGAAATACTGACCAATATCATCTCGAGAAATATAAATTCACATAATTTCAAAAATTTTGAAACTAAATTTGTTAATTATGTACTGATTTTTTTCTGTCGTTTTAACTCTAGTCTTTAATCATAGTTTAAAACTCTTTCTACGCAAACAACGCATACAATTGAATTAATTAAGCTTGTATACTGTGGCAATTTTGCTGTAAAAAATTTAATCTAAAAGCAATACAAAAAATGTAAATTTTAACTTTAACTTCTAAATCTAAACATCAAGTATAGAAGCGATGTAAGAAAAGAACATGTGTTACTAAACCATTGTATACTCGTTCCTCGTGAATCCAAATCTTTGCCAAGAAAATACCCAACGCCTATTCGACATCGAACATCATGCATATTAATATCACATCCAAATAGTCCTCCTGGACATTCTCGATTTGCCGATTTTTCAATATAATCCATAAATGTTGTTAATTGGTCAACATCTTCTTTTACTTCGACAATACTACAGTTTGTTATGTATCGATTAGCACATTGATAATAATCGAGTGTATCCTTACACCATTGAGCTTTCTCATAAATATTCCATGTTGTTTCAAATCGTACACGATTTTCTAAAAATTTTCCACATCTTGTGCCAGCCTAGAAAATGAGAATAAATATGTAATCTACTTTCATCAGTTGTTGTTAGTAAGTTAGTGTTGCTTTTGAATACGTTGGATCTAATCTAACGGGTGGTCCAAAAAGAATAATAATGTTAGTATTTTCAGTTTTTCTCCGCTTCCTTACAATTCATCGAGCAACTTTTTTTACCAAAATATAGCGCATTCAATTCTCTATAAAATATGTATTAACTATTTTATTGCAAAATCTGAAGATGGAAAATGAGAAGAGAAATCCTATAAAGTACGAAAATTCAGAAAAATTAATGTATTTTCTCATAGAAAGCTACATTTTTTCGAACGGTTTCACAAGCACCAGAGCGCGGTTTGAGTATACTTTATGTAGTTTCAAGTGTGCTCTCTCTCTCTTGCAATGACATGCAACAAAATTTGTTTTGAGCGAAAATATCCAACACAAAGATTGACTTATCGCAAACTGGGCGAAAACAGCAGATGATTTTGGCCCTATCTACGCGTGATAGCAAACGAAACTTTTTTCAAATCTTACCGATTCCACAATATAGAATAATTTTATTAGTCTTCAAAATGAAAAAAAAAAAATTCAACCTGAAAGGATCAAGTTTGACTAGACTATATTTGTTTTGTCGAATAATGCAAATCCTGGTCAAAAATCATCTTTTCAGAAAATTTCCAAGAAAAGATCGTTACGCTCATGCTCTCAGTTCTAACTGTAAAAGATTTTTAATCATAGGTGGAAGATAGAGCTTTCTAAGGCCTACACGTTAGCTACTTCAGCTTTCTTCTTCCACAAAGGTTTAGCGAATAAAACTTACAAGGCGGGGTTTTCATTTTGGTACATCTGTCGCGAACGCTTTTAAGTTTTTTGAATATAAAAAACGGAAAAGCGTTTTTTAAAAGGTTTATTGGTCTCAATAAACCGTTTTTGATAGTTTATTAATCTACGACTATTTTTTAGAGTGTATGATGCATAACGATAAAATTTTCTTTTAAACAAACTTGGTGGGGTGTGAGAGCTTTTTCTATATTATTTCACAACTCATATCCAACTGTCATCACTGTTTGTTTAATCTTCATCCATACTCACCCACACCCTCAGTGTTGAAGTCCAAATGTCGGCGCCCTAGAATCTATTTCGTCTGAATTTTTGTACTTCATAGGATTTCTCTTCTCATTTTCCATCTTCAGATTTTGCAATATAACAGTCAATACATATTTTGTAGAGAATTGAATGTGCTATATTTTGGTAAAAAAAGTTGCTCGATGAATTATAAGGAAGCGAAGAAAAATTGAAAATACTAACACTATATTTCTTTTCGGGCCAACTGTTAATCTTTCAACAAAATTTGTTAACATCCAGATCCGTGACAATCGGATAACGAGACAAGCCTCATTACGTTACTCTTTAGGTTGCAGACTGAAGCAAAGAGCATAATATGTAGCTTGCTAAGACTATTATGTGACTGACATTGCTAGGATTCAGACATTATATCTTTGAAGTATGATCTAATACCATTACGCTACTCACAAAAACTTGATTCTTAAAGAGTTCAAATGATCTAACAAACCTCTTCCACCGCACATATAGGCATTGGTGTGGTTGTTGATTGAGTTGTAGTTGTTGTTGTCGGTGGTGTAGTCGTTTTGCATTTATAATTAATTGCATTACTTTCTCCAATTCCTGAACAATATTTTCCAATACGCCACGCATTTTGTTTTAATTTTGCATCAGCGGCGGCCAACTGAGAAATGTATTCTGGTCTTAGATCACAACAACGTAACCGTTCATTCACACAATCGGCATATGTTTTACCTTTATCACAATAGGCGTACAATTGTTCTTTACTATAGAGATCGGCTTTCATCACTTCTTCGTCGTCTTTTGATGGTGGTGAAGGACACTCACTTGTTTTCCAAATATCGCATCCCAAACAACATTGTAAACTTAAAAATAGATAAATAAGGGAAAAAAACTTTAAGTTTTCTCTAATATTTGTAATTGGCCAACGATCTATTAACATCTTGTTACTCGCTTCATTTTCTCCAATTTTTGTATGTTGTTAGACATACATTGATCTTTGTTCAATGAAAATATATTTTTTTAATTTTATAAATATTTAACAAAATAGATGTTTAAGTCTTATTTTAAGGTAAATTATTAATTCATAAGAAATATATAAATAGGTGTTGACGAAGAATTTGAATTATGTAAGTTTTATGTATCACAAACTATGCTACAAAGAATAGTATACAAGAAAGAAGTTCTCTCTTTACTCAAGTTTATATTATTTGATAGAACGATAGTTACGTTTGTAAATAAAAAATGAATGAGATTTCGGTGGGTGAATATGTATAATACGCCGACATTAAGAGAATAAGAAAAACGATTGTCGATTGATTGATTGATTGATATATGCACGTTAAATGAATCCTAAACATCATCTCATCTCTTTACATATGAACAGCTGATTGCAATGACTTTTTTTCTTTCATTTAATCCAAAAGTCATTGATAATGAGCTAGTAAAATTCTTCAAACTATTTTCAAAAGACATAGGAGGCAAGTAAGAGGCTTCTTTTTTGTTATTTTATCCTTGTACTGTGGGCTCGAAAATTGGTTATTCAGAACTTTGAAAACATTTAGTCCTTAGTTTTGTATTTTTAAAGAAAAAAAATGATGTTCGAATTCAATTGTTGCAATCTATGTCATTTTTAACAGTTCACTAATAGGTATTAAACGTATTGTAAATTACCCAACTGTTCTAGTTAATCTATTTGAACAGTCTCATCGTTGTTTTTATTCTCCAAGAAAATTCCACTTCCGTTTAATGAAGGATTTTACCTAGAGCAACAATTTTTTTGAAATATCAAAATCTGTACGGTATCAGAAATAGCAGTAAAAATTGTCAGACCAGTAGCACGAGCAACAACTTAAATGTAGATCTCATTTGTTAGTCATAAGCAAGTAATTTTTGAGAAGGTGAAGATTGAAGAGAGTTGAGTGCTAAATCATTGATGATGAATTGGAGATGCGAAATAAAAGTTTAAAATGCAAGTGCTATTTTATCCCTAGAAAACTGGTGATAGTGTTTCAGAGTTAGAATCGGCCGGTTCTAGTATCGTATACAATTTAAAAACTAGTTAATATCATATTGATTTTAATACTAATTTTATACTACATGCATGTCGTAGGCAACGCTTGGACATTTTTTCAACTTTAAAACGGTGTTGTGTACATCGGTAAGTTGTAGCGATTTAAAATTTTTATTGCATGTATAGATGAACGAGCTTTATCTTGTGTGAAAGTTTCAGTAGTTTTAGTCTGACGAGGGAACCAGCCGAGGTTATAAATCGATTTCGAGTTGGGACTCTTTTTGTTAGGAAGGTCCTAACGAGTAGTGAAATACTCCAACTTGATTCATCCTCATGGTGCTTTGTTGCTGAGATACTGAATTTTTAGTCAGTTTTTGCCTATAGAGCTTGGATTTAGAGCAAAATCCGACGGAAAAATACTTGGTGCTAATGAATTTTCCTGCCTTGAGATATTGAGACTCGAACGCTTAAAAACAAATGTTCGAGTCTCAATATCCCAAGGCAGGAAAATTCATTAACATCAAGTATTTTTCCGTCAGATTACTATGACCATGGGCTACAAGTGCGGCAAGTTTGAAATCAAAATTCGAAAGTCGGATTTTGCTCTAAATCCAAGCTCTATAGGCAAAAACTGACTAAAAATTCAGTATCTCAGCAACAAAGCACCATGGGGATGAACCAAGTTGGAGTATTTCACTACTCGTTAGAGCCTTCCTAACCAAAATAGTCCCAACTCGAAATCGATTTATAATCTCGGCTGGTTCTCTCGTGAACATGTTCGGTTTTATTTGAAGGATAAAGGTCGATAACGTACGCACTTGTAAGTCTCCTTGTATTATCTCCATTGTATTACTCACTTATAGTAAAAACATTATCATGCAAAAAAATTTTCATTTTTTGTTTCAATCGTGTACACTGCAAGACAATCAGGTGGGTGATGTCAATGTATCATTTTAACAATATCTAATATTAGTCTGAACAACGAACGGTTACTTTTTGACTTATCAGCTAACAAAATTACATTTTTTTATATCTCATGTCTTACATAGGGAAAAACAAAATTTTTCAGTACTGTTTTTCTCTACTCTTCATCAAAAATTGATTGTCCATTTTGCGAAAATCTCACAAATACCTTGAACATAAATTATTGACTTTTTACTTTTATTGTATAGTCCTTGTACAGGTGATCGTGTTTATCGCATTACAGACGATGATAAAACACTCGCATTTAAAGTGCTTGTACGATATTACCAAGGAGCTTATTGTACTCTGAGCGGTGTCCTCTCGATTCGTTCCTAATTGGTATGTAAGATCAAGACGACATTACATGTGAGTGTAACTAATCAGGAAGGAATCGAGAGTAAACTTCTTGATCAATTACAGAATATGTCACCAGCATGAAAAATACCTTTAGATAATGTGTAGTCGTCAGTACATAATTAATTAACAGAAAAATCTTCAGAACAAAGTTTAGCATCAATTCATCCCTCAATGATCTCTCAACACGTCCTGTGGAATTTTTCTCTTAATTCATCGCTTTCTTCATATGTTTAATATATAGCAGTTTTTCACATCGCAGAACGTTTATTGCGTTTCAATTTTCACATAAATTCTAATTTTCTCAATGATTTAATATTAGGTGTCCTCTCAGTTCGTCCCAAATTGGCTTTGTAAGATCAAACAACATCAATGAGGAGAGCAGGTGTGAGAGTGAGCAATTTTGGGACGACTTAAGGAATATCATCATGAAGCATGATTAGAAATAGATGCTTACCTCTCTATGAAGTGAATAAACCTATCTATGATAAGATATCTGGAAAAAGATGACATAGAAGAAGTGCTGTATGTCAAAGGTGCTGAGAGATGAACGAATTAAGAAAAGATTTTAGCCGGACGAATTGAGAACGCACTAAATAAATGTCACATGAAAAAGATTGTTAATTCAAAAAGATGATTTTTATATATAATAATAAATTTATTAAAAATAGAAAAAGAACTATTAAAAAGTTATTTGACTGATTTTATGGTGTAGTAAGATTCAATACTGTAAGCAATCAGTGATTTATCTAGTAGGTGGGCCGGGTGGGCGTCGTCCACCCGAAATTTCGCTTCGCTCACCCAAAAATAAACAGTTGATTTCGTTTTAGCAAAAATTTTTTAGCGAATAGCCCCTCCAAAAATTTCAACCGCCCACCCGAAAAACGAAACCTAGGTAAAATACTATAAGCCATACAATTTGTTCTATCTGCTTGCTCTTTACCTTTTTGTTTCACTTTTGTAACTATTATCTAATCTTTTGGCCGAAGCATAAGTTATAGTAACTATATGAAGCACGTATCAAGATTTTCGTATAATTTAGTATAATATTGGTTTGGGCGAACAATCAGCTTTTCAAAAAAATATATCCCAATGCGTGCAGTTGACAGTACATCATAAAATGTTAGTATAAGGTAACGATTGTCTCAAATCAATTCACTTAAAAAAAAAAAAGAACAATATGCTGTAGTTACAACCACTATCAACGAAAAGAATAATAAAAAAACCAAAATAAAATTGAAAAAACGAAACCATTTCTTTATTTTTATACAAAAAAAAGCAAACATTGCCGCGAGCATATTAAACATGTAGAAAGGGAAAAAATGGATAACAATAAATGAAAAAATGGCAGGCTCATGAACAAGCTGCAGTGCTTAGTTAAGAGCAAGTCGCATATGCTCATTTTTTGACTTAGAGAACGAACGAACGAAATGAAACCAATTAACGTCTATAACATCATTCAATAAAACATGTATATATTTCACATTGTTCAATATTTACTTGTTATAAAAAAAATTCTACGATATTCGAGACTTTATAATATCACCTACGTACCTCTCTCATTCTACTAATAGCTAGCTACTGCTTACCTTTCTACATACTGATTTAGAACAAAAGAATTACAAGAAAAATATACGCAAGCGTTTATATTTCTTGACGTCTGGTGAAAATGATTTTTTGTATATGTTCGTTGTGTAATTACAAATATTGTGATAACCATCGAAATGCTTCACCATAACCTTCTCGCCTTAAAACACTACACATAAATAATTCCATTGGACGACCGGATACTTCACTACGAGATACATTGCCCTGATTAAAAATAAAACATGTAAGTTCAAAATGAGATGAAATTATTGTATTCTACCTTTCCTGTCGTTGCAGTTGATATACCCAACATATAACGTAATTCTTGTTCACTAACAGCACCAGGCAAATCAATTTTATTTCCGAGTACAACAATAGGTGCATTCACTACTTGTTCGTCTGTCAACAAACTCTAAATATGGCAACACATATAAAATATGAAAAAATTATACTGAAGTTTTTTCAGATAAAATTTTTGATCTGTTGCGCATGTAAATCTACAGAAAAAATGTTTGAGAAGATCCAAAGAATACAATATACTCATAAGACTGTAGTAACATACATACAAAAAAAAACGTTTTCCTCATCTAAAAGAAATCAACATGTCTTGGAAAAAATTCTTCCTATAGGATAAACGTCGCATATTTAATCTAAATCGTGGAATGCTTTATTGCTTACATCTAGTTCTGCTTTAGCTTCCATAAATCGGTTTCGATCAACAGCATCAACCAAAAATACAATTGAATCAACAGCTGGAAAATAGTCTTTCCAAACTCTTCGAGCTAAATATAGAAAGTACATTTTTCAATTGCTAACAAAATCTTGCAATGTAATTACCTTGAGCATGACCACCCAAATCAAATGTTGTAAACTTCATATTACCCATAACGAGTTCTTCAGACGCTAAAATATAAAAAATAAATCATAATAATTTCAAATTTGTCTTTTTCATTTATTTCTTTTCTTACTTGGATGCAATGTTGGTACGTGCTGCGCTAGACGATCATCTTTCAACATATGCAATAAGGTTGTCTAAAGGACAAACGTTTGGAATATTTATCAAAAATCGAGCAAAAACATAAAAGATTGTTATTACTTTTCCAGCATTATCAAGTCCTAAAAACACAAGTTTTCCGCTTTTTTTGTGTAGACCTAAACGTAAAGAAAAACGAATAGCCTGACTAGAACGTAATCGAATAGTTTTTTACACAAACCTAATGTACTGAGTATGTTAGTAAACCAATCCCATAAAAAACTCATTCTTCACCAAGCGTTCACAAAAATAGGTGGCTAATCTGGAAAGAAAACCGCAAACGTAATACCAGTACAAATATGTGACATGAAAAAGATTAAAGAAAGTACTTTAGATAACAAAGCTGAGCTACACCAAAAACCCAAAGTGGTAGAATAAACATTATTTCAGATTCAAAACTTGCTAAAAGACGTTGAACAAACCGATTTTGAAGAACAGATTGTTTTTCTTCTACATCTGTTAGGCTTGATTCATTCACAATACTTCAGAACAATTCAGCTAAGTGACAAATACAGCATGGATTTATTATCAAAAAATTTTAAATGAAAACGAGATATTCGCTCGATAATAGTCCGTCCAACCTATTCTTTATCCTTAAAGGTGACCTCGTGTCAGCAGCGAAAAACAATACAATAATAAATGATTAATCCGATCGAAACTTTTCAGCTTTGTTACTCTTGGCACTGTTACATAAAGCAACGGTAACAGCTTTCTATTTATTGACGTTTTGATTGTTTTTTTTATAAATATAAAATAAATAAAAAGAAAAAAACAAAAAGAAGTGCCCACGTGTAGCATATAACCAATTAGAATTCGCCCGCAAGCCGCTGCATAACTGTCATAAGCCACGTTCGCATACAACCATACATCTTGGTTCACTTAATCTGTAATTTATCTGCATTTCTGTCGTATGAAATATTGTTCGACTTATAAATTAAATTCAGATTATTTTTGATTTATTGTCACTCTTATCTGTTCAATATCTTATGAAACTACTAGAGAAGTTAGCGTCGCTAGTGTATAAGAATGTGTTGATTATAACACATATCTAATCCCTTTATAATTATTAGATCATTTGGTATTTCTAAAAAATTTCACATGAATGTCAAATCTGTCTGTGTGAAAAATTATGAATTATGTAATTAAAAAAACACTAGAATCCATAGACCACTCTTTACCTGGTTCTTCATATTGCAATAATTAAATAAAGGTCCAGATAAAGGTTCTATGAAAATAAATCGTTACCGTCAATGTCTCTTATCTATAAGCTAGCGACTCATTTTGAAGTCGATCGGCTGAAACCCGAGGAGGCTTATTCTGTTTCATCATAAAAAGAATTTTCTTCAGGTCGACTGAACGAAACGATAGGAGACTACACTGTGTTTTCTCGTTTGAGTCAGCCACTCGTTCTCAATTATTTCTAATGATACACATTTGCGAAAAAGATGATTCGAAAGTGGATGAGCTGTGGATGACACATCGGTTTTTGGATATTATGCTTTAGTTATCCTGTTAGCCACAAAATGAGTATATTTTTTCCTATGAGATAATTAATCATTACGTGTGATACGCTTCATAGTGAATATATATATTGTAATGCTTGATATGATGAAGACTCTAGTAGAATATATGACACAATAATGAATCAGCTGACATTGCAATGTACATTCTTCTTCAAAAAACGTCAAAGTGTTGTTTCTGAATCTTCTAATTTTGCCTGTTTACCGTTTCACTCGGTCGGCATTTCAATCTGCCCGCAGGATAGTTGGCATCTAGTCATTGTATCTTACCTTGACCTTGCATACATTGTAAGCAGAGATATAAAACTACTTGCTAAGTAGTAAAGTCCGCTTAACTTCTGAGCTTTGCCTAATACCCTCCGCGTCATTCTGATTGACTTCTCTCTTAATACAAAATCTAGTTCGAATATATAGCTTTTATTATGAAGGTAAACGGACGCATATCCTCCCTTTGCTGTTTTAAGAAGTTTCCGTCAACATCCCAACAAGTGGCCATAAATTACCGTCTAATTAAATGACTTAATACGAACAAGTAGATTCCAAGATTGATAGCCTCGTACTTTTTAACATGTTATACTCATTATTTGGCAGTAATTGTTTATAAGATTATCGAGCCCATCTAAAAATCAAAGACTGCTCCGTGTCAAAAGGAAATAGCGAAAAAATTTAAAGATGAACTAATTTAAAGTTTTTGTTGGTTGCAAATATGTCTTAGATCTCATTTCAGATACTGAAATGTGAAACATATTCAGATCTCTTGATGCGACTGCAACATGCTTAATTTATTGTTAATATATTTAATCTATTTGATTTCATGTTCGACCAATTTGGTTCTGTGTTCAGAAGGTGATAAACATTATATTTATCAATCATGTTTACATCATTGTCAACAGATAAATTGTTCAACATCGTCTGGTTTAAATTCGTTTCATTTAAAACAATCAGTATTTGAACAATTAACGTTTTGGTCATGTCCAGATGAATGCGCCTACCAGTGTATGTGGAAAACAGTTAATCATATGCAAAAGAATGAAAAACGAGTGGCTCAATTCCATGGTATGTGGTTATCAAACAACTAATGATTATAATTTTACGTAATCAGAGGAAACAAATCTCTCTGTTTTCCATCGAACTTTTTAGGTAAGTGGCCATTTATACGATTATTTGGAATACAAGAGCCGGCATCTACGTTATTTTCTATAGCCAATTTCATTTCACATTATTATTATGGTTTTCGTGTTATTCGCAAACGTCTTCAATATCGTGTTCATCCATTATATAATGTATGGTTATGTTTTAGCATTGTTGCATTAAACGCTTGGATATGGTCAGCAATATTTCACACAAGAGATAAACCATTCACAGAAAAAATGGATTATATATGTGCTATAGGTAATATGCCTTTTTCCAATGGTGCTTCTTTTTTGTTAAAAACGCTAAAGAAAATATCTTATGTAATGAGTTCAAAGATTAGTAGCGTATCCCAAAACGTATTTTAAAACTTATTTGAACCTATTCCAGAGTAATAATCCCCATGGGTATTTAAAAAACTAAAAAAATCAGGTGCGAGTGTCGAAATACTTTCACTCGATTACTTTAATACTTTAGCATTGTTTTATTTCTAATTTTAGCCCTTATATTTTATCAATATTTCTGTTGTATCACGCGTATTTGTTATACAAATCAAAGACGATCAACAATGTTTACGTATGTTCATCGATTTTTAACATTTTTATTATTTACATTTTTCCTGTATCATTCGTATTATTTGTTATTTGTCCAAATGGATTATGGCTATAATATGTTGGTGAATATTAGCGTTGGAATTGTCAATGTTCTGTTTTGGTTATTCTGGTGCTTAAGACATTCACATTTACGTTACGTGTGGCGATGTACCATATGTGTCATTTTAACGCTGTGTTTTGCTTGTTTAGAACTACTCGATTTTGAACCGATTGCATGGATAATTGATGCTCATTCATTATGGCATTTTTCAACAATAATTTTACCATTGTTATGGTATCAATTTGTTATTGATGATTCTAATTATCTATTAGGAGCACCTTATCATTGAAGAATTGCATAAACAGCAAGAGAAATATTGAGAATTATTTTAGATAAATAATGATATGACATATACATATAAACTTATATTTCTCATGTGTTAGCGCATTTCTCATGCAGCCAGCCTCATTAAATTTTCATTTACCTCATTTTTCAATATATAAATCTTCCACTTGTCTTTCAAATTTTTTTGAGTTTATTTGTTTATTAGTTTGATAATTTTATACATTTTCTGTGATATTTATACTTTTAGTTTAATATTTTTACTGTTTTCAAGCAAAAACACATACATTCCTCATTCTCAAAATTGTTTCAAATGATAGATAGTAGAAGTAAAGTTCAGAGCATAGATCAAATATAACAAGATTTTGAATATACCCAGCTCTCAAATTTGAGTTAGTCCAATAAAAAATTAGGCACATGAAAGAAAGGATAAATGCTAGAAAGGTAAAGCTGTAGCTTAAAAACTAAATGGAGAAACACTATTAAACAGAAAATAATGAATAAATAACACTACAATAAGAAGAAGTTATAATCGAGGTCACTTATTTTCTTCTAACGAAATCTCTTTCAATATCAAGTTTAACTTTTCACAGAGAAAATCGCAATCATCCTTGGAAAAGCAGACTGGAGGTTTAATTTTGAGTACATTGTGATCGGGTCCATCAAGTGACATAATAACAAAATGTTCAAGTAATTTATAGTGAATCTGTTTTGCTTCATCAATAGCTGGTTCGCGTGTTTTCACATTTTTTATTAGTTCCACGCCAATAAATAATCCTCGACCGCGTACATCCCCAACAAGCGTATATGTATTGCCAATTTCTTTTAATTTCATTATGAGATATTCTCCAACTTCTCGAGCATTTTCCATTAAATTTTCTTTACCAATTACATCTAGTACGGCAATACCTGCACGACACGAAACTGGATTACCACCAAACTGAAGAAAAAAAGAAAATAAACTTCGTAAAATAAGTTTCGTATTAACTAAATGACATTTTACCGTATTAAAATATTCCACGCCATTTTTATAAAAATTTTCTGTTAGAAACTTTTTCGTAATCAAAGCAGCTACAGGATGTCCATTCCCTGCAAAGAGAGAAAACATTTTGTTTTTATCGGTGCACAATCATTTGAGAAAAACAAACTTACCCATACTCTTGCCAATCGTTACAAAATCAGGACAAAGATCTACAAAGAGAAGGAAAGAAAAATATACTAGGTAAATTCTAGTAGCTACATCATACCTCCATCATACGTTTGAAAAGCCCAAAAATGTGTGCCACTTCGTCCAAATCCTAAATTTTCAGTTACTTCGTAGAGACAGCCTTAGACATTTTCTACATCCGTACCTGTCTGCACTTCATCTACGAGACAAAGTATTCCTTTTGATTGTAAATACCTAAAAACAAGTAGTTTTGAAGCAACTCTGTCGATAATATATTGCAAAATTTTTCAAACAATATTATACATTTATGAAAATAAATTCCATCTATAGTCGAAGGAAGGTATTTACGTAATTGGCATACGTACTTAAATACTTTTTTCAGGTACGTTTGTGGATATATTATTTGGCCACCGCAACTTTGAAATGATTCAATTAAAAAAATGGCTATTTTACGTCCACGTCCTTCAGCATCCTCAACAACATTCATTAAATCTTTTACATATAAATCACATAATTTTTCTTCATCTGTGTGTTCATCGTTTCGATATTTTCCTCGATATACATCTGGTGTACTCACCTAAAGTTAAGGAAAAAAAACCCTGAGATATTGTCATGACAAATTGATCCATGATCTTACGATATGAACATGTTCTTTTGGTTTATTAATTTTTTCGTTCTTAAACTTGTATGAACTTAGTTCCACCACTGAAGTTAAGTGTCCATGATAGGCGCTAAAATATATCCAATATAAAACATCTAATTATAAAATTTTAGAGTAGTGAATTCCATACATACTTATCTAATACTAGAACATCATAATTGCCAGTATATTCCCTTGCTAATCTCATAGCTAAATCATTTGCTTCAGATCTATTTAAATAATAAAAATATATTATTAATTAGACGCGGAAATTTAAACTTAGTTCAAAATTCTAACCCGGAATTAGTATAAAATACTTGATGCAAATCTTCGGGCAACGTTTTACACAATTTTTCAGCCAATATTATCGGATTATCATGTAAATATCGATTATTTGTTTCACATGCACCAGTTTGTTTGTGAACTTGTTGAGTGACATGTGGATGACAATGACCAACTAATTATTAAAGGAGAAATGAATTATTTACAGAAAGATGTATACTAAGATGTATAACAAACCATGTGCAACATTATTGATACAATCCAAATATTTATTTCCCAGTTGATCATACATATACGTGCCAGAAGCTCGTACAATTTTTAATGGGTTATCATGATAGAATAATTGAGTACATATGCTATAAAAACGAAAAAAGTAGTACATATGTAAGTTTATCATCTCTATACATCTTACATTTTAATGAACACTTACGGTATATAATGTTGTCTTAATTCAATTGTTTTCTCTTTTGAATAAAATTCTTTAAAAACAAAGTCTGGATCATCGGCGTGTATACTATGTTTTCGTACAGTGTTTCTTTCGGCTGAGGCTGGTGAAAGAGTGTCCATTATTGTGCAAAATCTATAGAGAAAAAGGTATAAAATATTTCATGTACAATGTAAATACGTAAAACTCTACCTGATATTATTCAATTGTATTGATAATATACTAGTTAATTTTGGTAATAAACATAATCTTAAAAGCATTTAACTAAATAGCATTTTTTTCTATGATTTAACGCAACAAAATTCAAAAATATCAGGTTTAGTTCTGAAACAGAAAATAAGAAATTAAGTAATCGAGAGAAAGAAAATGGAGAACGACACGTTACTAAATATTTTTATTGATTGAGTTTCTACATATAAAAACATAGTAAACTAAAAACTAGCAAGGTTAGTAAAAACATAATTTTTCTTGAAACTCATTTCTGCATCTCAACTGATACAATATTCCTTTTGTTTACTATTCAATGATAAGTAAATAGACGTTTAACGAGTTGAAATACTATAATAGCTATAACTTATACGACTATTTCCATTGAAATTCTAATTACAAGAGAATATTTTATTAAGAACAAGATTTGAAAAAATGCATAAATAAAAACTACTACTTTTTCATTCATTATGCTTTACTTATAAGTTGATGGAGCTAAAATATGATTTAGAGATGGTGATTTTAAACTTTAAGATGGTGATTTACTATCTGTCGATTCATTTACATTATCAGGAGATGTATCGGAGAGTGTATTGACTTTAGGCTGCGCTGAGCAATTATCTGCGTTGAGCAATTCTATCGTGCTTAACACAATATCCAATTTCTGACAAAAAAAATCCACATCAGCCATCGAAAAAGTCATTGGACTTTTGAATTTCAACACATTACAATAGGGACCATCGAGTGACATAATAACAAAATTGTCACGTAGTCTAAAATAACAGGACGGTATAAACAAATATCTTTATTATTTTTTTAAGGAAGTTAAAAATTTTAGACTACCTCTGTTGAATTTCTCTTGCTTCATCAATTGCCGGTTCACGTGTTTTTCTATCTTTCACCAAGTCAACACCGACAAACAAACCGTACCCTCTAACATCACCGATAATATAATGTTTTTCTTTTAATTTTTCTAAACTGGTTAAAAGATATAAGCCAACATCATGTGCATTTTTCATTAAATTCTCACGTTCTACTATATCTAGAACAGCAAGAGCTGCGACACACGATACTGGATTTCCACCAAACTAAATAGACAAATACAATCCATCACATAAACAAAACATCATCTAAATGTTTACTGTGTTAAAGTATTCAATTCCATTATCTTCAAAAGCTTTTATAACAATTGAACGTTTTGTAATCAAGGCAGACACGGGATGTCCGTTTCCCATTGATTTTCCAACTGTGACAAAATCGGGTGTTATCGAATCTACGTGTATAACGGCACCGAAATAAGATAAAACAACTCTTATGTTTAAATAAGTAATTACCGTCGTCCGTTTGAAAACTCCAAAAATGTGTACCACTTCGTCCAAACCCTAAATTTTCAAGAACTTCGTAGAACAAGCGTTAGATATCTTCTACATGAGTACCTGTCTGCACTTCATCTGCTAAACACAATATATTTTTTGATTGTAGATAGCTAGAGCACAAAATAAACAAGAACTGTTTTAAAACAAATGCCAGATATTGAATTAAACTGAACCAACATTTCGATTATTCTATCGCCTTCTTCACTTTCAAGTCTGTACGTACTTAAAAGCTTTTTTCAGATATCCTTTCGGGTAAATTATTTGTCCACCACAACTTTGAAATGGTTCAATTAAAAAAATGGCTATTTTACGTCCACGTCCTTCAGCATCCTCAACAACATTCATTAAATCTTTTACATATAAATCACATAATTTTTCTTCATCTGTGTATTCATCATTTCGATATTTTCCTCGATATTGATCCGGACAAGGTGCCTAGTAGAAAATTTACGTATAGCACTGAGCAAAAGTAGCACGAATAACACAGTATCTATCACTTACGATGTGAACATGGTCTTTTTTAACACCGTTTTTTTCTTTTTTAAATTTATATGAACTAATTTCAACCAGAGACTGCAAATGTCCGTGATATGCACTAATAGACAGAAATAAATCAGTAAATGTGATAATAATCGTAACCCTATCGCATAGATGGGGTCGCCCGCGCCCCCACACATGAAAAATATTGTTTTATTACGAAACAGATAAACGCTTTATTTTCACCGATTATTATGCAGTTACTGTAGTGCTCTAGAAACAGAACAATGATGAATTTCTTCTCAAAACCTATCGGTTATGATCGGTTATCCGACAGTAACTAATATAAGCGAAATAATCGATGCATGTCTAGTTACATAAGGTCGATCACGTTGATAGAACGTGACCGTCCACGGGATGGTCAGTTGTTTTTCTTGCGTATTATGTACAGATGATTCATTTCTTATACGTATATGTATCGCATGATCACCCCCTTTCGTTGATCAGAAGAACGGAAAATTTTCTCACTTCTATTTTTATCTTCTCTTTCTTTGTTTATGCATTTTTTTTTTGCATTATCTCGATCTTTAACCGCTCTATATATATGTATGATTTCCTCTTTTGCTATCCAATTGCTTCAACTAATTTCAAGGTCACCATCATCATCTTTTTAATAAAATTACTCGCTCAACAAGTGTGATATAGGCTATGCGTTCTAGGGTTAATTATGTATTCATCTCACTTACTAATCAAGCGCTAAAATATCATAATTGTTAGTATAATTTCTGGCCAGTTGAATGGCAAGATCATTTGCTTCGGAACTATAGTCAACAATAATAAATAATTCAACAAAACTATTTTAATTCCGACAATTACTGAACTAACCCGGAATTAGAAAAAAACACTTGTTCTAAATCATCTGGTAGATGTTTTGTTAATCTTTCTGCTAATATTAGACAATTATCATGTAAATAACGATTATTTGTCTCACATACAAGTGCTTGTTCGTAGGTTTTCGAAGCCACATAAGCATGACAATGGCCAACTATTACGAATTAAAAATCAATAAATCAATCACATCTGAAAGACGAGTTTGTCTTTACCATGAGCCACATTGTTTATACAATCTAAATACTGATTTCCGTCTTGATCAAACATGTAAGTTCCTTGACATCGCACAATTTTTAATGGTGAATTTCGATAAAACATTTCTGTACAATTACTATAGAGAAAAAATACATCCGAACTAATAAATTTTGCATCTTAAAGCCATGGATACATTAGAAGATGGTGGCTTTTTCTGTCCTATCGTTCACAAATTTTAGGGATGGAGGTCTTCTATTGTGTCTCTTAGAGTGGTCGTATTTATCGGTACCCTCGGCAATAAAACACGCAATTCAAAACCGCTGTATTTGATCACATTTTGATTCGTTCAAAGAAAGATAAAAATATTATTGCGCTTCAGCTACAGAGATGCATATTCAAAGAAGTGCAACAAAGTTAAAAAAAATTACAAAAATTCTCAACAAGTCAACCTTTGTTAAGGGGATCTTCTAACCTGTCTTTTGCTTCGCTCACTCAAGAGGGTTCTCTTATTACGGGAGGGTCTTCTAATGTGTCCATGGTTTTAGAAGACTTCTTAAAAAAGTAAAATTTGTGCTCTTACGGTATATATTTGGCTCGTAATTTTAACGTTTCTTCTAACGTTAAAAATTTACCAGCAACGGGCACATCTTTTTGTTCAGCCATTTTCTATTGAGCAAAATGGCTAGAATGCAGCACTGAAAAAAGAATGAATAAATTTTCCTCAAAGTTATTAATACATCCAACAACCATTTAATCAACAAAGAGGATTCTGTTTATCCATAGGCTATCATTACTCTCTACCTATGAATCACGATTTAAAATAAAAACAATAAGAAATTTGCACTTTCGATACGCTTCTAAACTATGAATCTTTTCTATGTTTCTCGTCCTTCTAAATAAAAGGTAAATTTGTTCGGTTACAGAACACTGATTCTGTGTAGAAGCTTTATATCACTGTTAAACAATAATAGATAAAATTCTCGTACCCGTCGGTATTTCATTTTCATCTTTTTCTGTCGTTCTTTTATATAAATAAAAATTAAACAACGTTTCTTTAAAGATACTGATAACAAAAAAATTACAGCGTATGTGAAGGTTATACAGCCGTCACACGGATGATGTTATCTTGCAGTTTTTGAATCGAACAAAAATTCTGCTTTATGAAAGTATTACAAATAGTTTACGCATGTAAACACCACATTAAGATATACTAATCATAAACGAAGTACTTCAGATGCAGTAGGTTAACACAATATAATATAGATAAACGGTCAAATCTTAGAGTTTCACGAACGCCTGTCATTGTGAATATACGCCTAAATGTATCAATATAGTATATAAAATAGACATAAAGTATCACAATGTTTGATTTGAACTATATATATCGGATAACAGAACTGAAAACACACTGTTTTACACAAGTCACTATATTATAATAAAATATTTATGGTAATGAAATGATCACTCTTTGCGCCTCTGAGTTCTTTTAAAACTATTTGCTAGTTACCGTCTGCACTTGCAATTCTCATATTACAATAAGAAGTATCAATAACGAAGTGTAAAGAAGAAAAAAAGAATATTCACATTCTCTAATTACTTTGAAAGAATCGTCATGTTTTAGGTAGATATGTTCCCAGTTTGCTAATAATGGTAAGAATTAGAATACTCTGTTTACCTTTCGTTTCTTTTATTGAAACTTTTTTGTCTTTGATTTTTTAATGATCAAAACAAACAACCAACGTAATTAAAAAAAAGAAACAAACTCAGATTTTTGGTATGACATTTTTTTTTGTTTTTTATGAAAATTAAGAGAACAAAACTGTTCTTTAAATAAACAAAAATAACTTTATAAAAAAAATGTAACAAGGAAAACACTCATACACACTCGCAATACACATGCAAAATAAAGATCACAGTTTTAACATTGGATAATGTGAATTTGTATTAAAATCAAAATCAATAGTTTCACCTCTTTTATGACCAGCAGCTAACAGTCGTACAACAATCACATTTGTTTTAGCTATTTTAATATAAGATTCAACATCTTTCACAGATGTAAAACCAATTGTAAATGTGCGATTCAATGGTGTTTTAGTTGATGAATGTTTCAACGTTATTTTATTAAGATATGTTTCAAAATAGACTTTTGCTTGTTGAAAGTGTGTCACAGAATCTTGATATAAATCATGAATATTATGATCACCATCGCACAACTGTTGAATATCTTTAAAGTCATGATATTTCATATAGCGTGGTGCACATAAATTACTAAATGGCATAAAACGATGACGATAACGGACTTCATCTTTTAAAAAATATGGTGACTGCGTCAAATCACTACTAAAAAAGAAAAGTAAGATCTATCTCGCATCCTAACCAAATGATATAAGCTTAAAATTTTTAAAATTTTTATAAAATAGTTAATTTGATACCTCATGTCATTCTTCTTCTTAAATATTAATCGATTATCAACTTCTAATGCTTTTAAACATCGATGTAATGCTGTACACATGGAAAAATGTCCATGTAACAAATTGAGTTCTTTTTCATAATGAGATGGACGATTAGAACTACTACTATTTGTATTATTATTATGACCTCCATTCGTTGCCGTAGAGGGTGCTGTTCCATTAGTCGTTGTTTGTTGTTTTCGTTTTGATTTTTTTTGATTGTCAGTATTTACTGGTGTACTTATTGAACCGACGTCAGACGAAGATATAGTTGATGATGGCATATTTAATAAATCACTTGTCATTTGAGGATTATTATCAACTAATTGACGTATAAAACGGTTTGTAACTGGTGATTTTTGTTGTTTTTTACCGGCTGTCATTGATGTATTGTTTAATTGTTGAAAAAATGTTTCCGTATTTGTTAAAAGATAATCGGCTCTTGTATAAATAGTTATGTGAGCAAATAGAATAATTTGTGCAAGATAAAAATAAAGATCATATAATTCACGTTTAGAATATAAATCTAATTCAAATCCTAAATAAATATAATATTCCATAATACATAGTGTCCAATGAAGCATAAAATTAAAAAAATAGGATGTTTTTTCCATCATCATCATCACTTGACTATTATTCGGGGTTTGTTGTTCAAATATATCTAATAGAAATTTTTGTAACCAATTATCTATTTTTTCACTTTCATCTTGTAAAACACTACATTCCTCTAATAAATTTGATAATTTTTCACGAGTTCGTGCACGATTATTACATAAAGAATAGAATAAATTTGAAAATAGTACAGCTGATCGTTGAAAAAAATTTTCAACAATATCAAAAGTGGTTTGATCAATTTGAATATGTTTTAATGTTAATATGGGTGGTAGAATAAAAGATTTCATTTCTAATTTGATGTAATCACTAAAAATAAATTGACCAAATATTTTTCGTCCAGGTAATGGTATACCTTGTGCTGATGGTAAATAACTCAATAGTAATAAAGAACGAATGAAAATTGTTGGCTTATAATATGTTGAATATTCAATGAAATATTCATAAGATAATTGTAGCGTTTTTTTATCAGTCATTTCTAATAATTTCTTTATATGTTCACATAATTCATTATATGTTTTATAAACAATTGTTGATGGTATCAAACAGCGAATGAAACGATTGAAGGCTGGTGGTAATTGGCGATAATTATAATAGGGATCAAATGTGTATTTTAAATCAACAATCGATGATGGAGAAATTGATAGTATTGTGGTGGATAAATTAGACTCTTCTTCAGATGCAATCATGGATGATGAATTCTAGAGATGAAGAAAATAGATGGAAAGTAGATGGCTGTACAAGAGAAAGAGTGAGAGAGAAAGAAGTGGTAAAAGAACAAGACTCTTATCCTTATTATTTATCTCAAAATGCGATCGTTATTATCTTTAAAACAAACATACTGTATCAAGTTTTTGAATATTTATTGCTGTTGTTAAATTATTTTCTTCCTGTTCGTCATTATCTTTGATTAATACTGTTGGCTGTATTAATTGTAAACATTCTGTTGTTTGTTTTAACAATTTTGCTATTTCTTCTCCATTTAATGGTGTTTGTTCACCGATTTCATTTACACAATTAAATTTTAAACATATTTGATATAAATGTCTTAAAAATTTCATTCTAATCGTTAATTGTTGAGTATAAAGCATATCTTGACTAATATCTACTGTTGTAGATAAATGACGTAATTTTCTATAATATTTTGCCAAATCATCTTCACATTTTTTTATATCGTTAATAGATTGCTGTTCCTTAACGGTTTCTTGATAAAATTTAAAATTATATATCAGTGTACCACTAAAATCTTCTTCTTCATAGATGCCGGCTTTCAATATAATTCGTTCACGTATATAATCAATTAGTTTTAAATAGGCGATTGTCATTGTTCGTAATACATTATCTTTGATCATATCTGGTTCATGTAAATATAAACATGTGAAAACGGTTAATGCTAGACTATGACCATCTAACCACATATGAAACGATGATAATAATTGATCAAAAATATAAACTAATTCTAAATTAGAAAAATTTTCAATTTTTAATTGTTTTCGATCTATCAGTTGAGCGATAGTGGGTGTTAAATTTCGATTTTGTTGTTGTGGTTGTTGATGAAAATGATTATTAATTGACATCCCACTATCCATTTTTGGATCCTAGACAGAAAAAATAGACTTGTTTTTTCTTCGATTTTCGTAGCAAGAAAACAAGACTGACCATTATTTCTAGTGCTGTCATGGCTTCAAACAGCGTAAAGTCCATGTCTCGGACTAATTCGCCAACATCCAAATGTTTGCATAAGGATGAAAATTCACTGGTTATATCTTTCCATTTGTACAATACACCATTAATAGTTTCTTCCATAGCTTTTACAAAAAAAAGAGCCTACGAAAATGGTACGTATAATCAAAAATAGCACCAAATTATCATTGTTATTAACAATAACTTAGCAGTAATCTAGAATTAAAGGTTCGAAAAACGAAGCTAACTGGTGATACTTCATTTCAGATCACATTTCTATTATTTTTCGAAAAATAAAATATCTCAAATTATTTCAACTATTCTTTGATTGCCAGGCAGGCACCGACCAGTTTCCATAATCCTCCTCTTGTCTGCATTGTCTCTGAGTATAGCTTCTGACTTTAAAAATTTAAAGTTCTAAGTTTTACGTACAAAGACTTTTTTTACGAATTTGAAAAAAGCATGTGGAATAACATATTAAAAAACTTAATTTATCACTTAATAAGTATAAGAATATGAAGAGTAGAAATGTACCACTATTAAAACACAAATCAACTATCAATAATTAGAAAAATACTTTGATATACTGGGGAATACATAGAAGGTTAAAAATTATATATTTGTCGAATAAGTTTCAATAGATTTAATGCTGAAATTCTTGAATATCATGAAAAATATCTTTCACTGAAACAAACTTCGTCAAAACCAAACTTGTTAAGGAAATAAATGCCCAAAACCAAAACGTTTTAAATACACGTGGAATATGAAACCAATTTCTGTAGGGTTTACCAATGAGTTCCATACGTTTTGTTGTTGCTTTTGTGTACGGTGGATTTCTCATTGATACTAGACCGTCTGCGAAAGTTGGCGAAAAAGCGACTGAACGTTTGTGACTAAATGTGTCGAACGAATATTTTCCATGATAACTTCCAAGTCCCGAGGGTCCAACGCCGCCAAAGGGTAATGCGGAAGGTCCAATTTGTAAAACAACATCATTAACACACACAGATCCTGAACTTGTCTCATCTATTATTTTTTTGGCTAATTTTTTATTTCCCGTAAAGACATAGAGTGCCAGTGGTTTTGAACGTTCATTAATAAAACGTATTGCTTCATTTTCATCTCTAACATTGATTATTGGTAAAAGTGGACCAAATATTTCTTCTTGCATTACTTTATCATCCGCCGTAACATTTGTCATAATTGTCGGTGAAATGTAATTGTGTTTCTCCTCACTGTTTCCACCGTAAACAACCTTCGATTTATCAATTAAATTTTCAACACGTTTAAAATGTCGGTCATTTACAATATGCGCGTACGATTCTGATTGTAACGGGTTTTCAGTATAAAATTCTTTCCAAGCTTTAATAATTTCTGGTATAAGACGTTGTTCCGTTGCTTTTGAGCATAATAAATAATCCGGAGCCACACTAGTAAATAAAGAATTCTTATGGTAATTGCTATAGTGTAATCTTAAAAAACTTTGTCGATCACTTACCATGTTTGTCCACTATTAATACATTTGCCCCATGCTATGCGTTTTCCAGTTACTTCAATATTAGCATCATCAGCTATGTAAACAGGACTTTTACCACCACATTCCAGAGTAACTGGTATCATTTTCTCTGCTGCAGCATGCATAATTATTTTACCAGTCGTCGTCGCACCCGTATAAAAGATATAATCGATATCGCCTTTTAGTAATGCTTGTGTTTGATCAACACCACCAAGTACCGTTTTGATACAATCATTGTCTAAATAACGCGGTACAACATCGAACACGAGTTGTGCACATTTAGGCGCTAATTCACTAGGTTTTAACACCGAACAATTTCCTAGAAATAATCAATCAATGACCATAACTCTCAGTGATATATTTGATTTGCTCTTACCAGCTGCTATCGAACCCACAAGTGGAGCAAATAGTAGTAAAAATGGATAATTCCAAGGACCAATGATTAAGCTCACACCATATGGTTCACTATGAACATATTTCTCCATAATTGCGTAAACAAGACTGTCTGACTTTTTTTCATCTTTAACCCAATCATCAATATTATTTAATGCATAGACACATTCAGCACGAATTAATCCACAATCATATAACAATGTCTCTAATTAAAGAAAATCTATAGTGATATGAAACTTGATATTATAGAAATGAAATACCCTGTTCAGGACGATGAAAATCTTCTTTCGCCGCATCAGCAAATAAATGTTTTTGTTCATCAAATAATTTCAACAAACGTTCTAGCTGTTGTTTACGCCATTTAAGAGATTTTGTTTTGCCTGAATTAAAGGTCGTTCTTAGGCCAGTTAATAATAGTGGAATGCTTTCAACTGCTGTCATAGCTCCCGAAGACATATTTATCAGGCAAAATTCTGCTCGTAAATCTACAAAGAATAATGCGTAATGTACGAGATAAATTAAAACAAACAGAAATATAGAGAAATGTCCAAGGATGAAAGAAAAAACATGCATTTCTAAAGGAATATATGAACTGTAAAAAATGGTTTCTAAAATTAACGATCAATTCTCATTTCGTCTCACATTACTACTGCGATTTAATGTAAGAAAAGTAGAGAAAGTTTTGCTAAAGTCTGGAGTAAAACTTTTGGTACGTCCACAGATGGAAAAAAATATGCTTATTTGGTGTACTTTTTTCGGTTTTTAAGGAAACAAATTTATTGGATGAAAGTTTTGCATTTTAACAAGGATCACGTGGGATTTTATTTTCTGTTGTCTTTTTTTAATGATCTATTGTAGTTACTGAGATATCCACTATTCTATACAATAGAGGATGTTTTTGCTATTGTAGAACCCTCTATTGTAGAATAGTAGATATCTCAGTAACTACAATAGATCATAAAAAAAAGACAACAGAAAATAAAATCCCACGTGATCCTTGTTAAAATGCAAAACTTTCATCCAATAAATTTGTTTTCTTAAAAACAGAAAGAACACTAGAAATCTGTAAATGATTGGATGAGTCATCACTTTCTGCGTATATACCATTTGACAAGGTTGTTCCTTTTTTTTACTGAAAAACTGAACTGAACTGAACTAAACTAAGTTTCTGAGTCACCAGATCGTAAACTTTTCTGTCACCCAATCAGAAAAGTTCAGTAAAATCAGTTTCTCAGTAAAAAAATGGACAACCTTTGACAAATACTATTTTGCTTTTTTACTCCATTATACTATCGCGATTATGTTATGGTTTATATTGCAATATATTGCGATATGTTATCGTTCGAACAAATCTAATCTTAATATTTTAGACAGCTTCTCGAGAAATAATTTTGTTTCTTTTTAAGTGCTTGGTGTCGAGTTGTGTTGTTTTGTTTACTTTATGATTAGTTCAGTACTTTTCCTTCTAATAAAAAAACGCATTTATTCACACGTAACAAGAAAGTCTGATGCCTTTTTTAGTTTCTTGTAAGGTTCTATAATTCTGTGTCTTTAGATTACATAATGTTTTAATTTGATCCACATTACTGTTCTTTAAAAACCTTTTACTTAAGAAACTGAGTCTAACATGAATCGAAATACTACAGAATATTTTTAGTTCTGACTGTTTTTTTCTTACTGGACACAGATAAGATATACCTGAAAATTAAAAATATTTAAACACAGTAAACTGTAAATAAATACGAACAACTATCAGGATAATCTGCTTTACTACATTAACTCTCATACAACTCTGGTATGATTTTTGTCAAACTGTTACTTTCATATTAAAAACGTTTGCCATGACTGCTGACAAGGCTGCGTTATGAGCTCTCATCAGTGGTTCAACGTGAGCTAGTGAAGAGAAAGCCTTAGAAAGCTTCCAAATGCTGGAACGTATAAAAATTTCTTGATATGTTATTTGTTTTGCTTATGATGACCATATTTATTTAGTGTTTTAGTTCTTATAAATAAATTCCATGTTTTTCATGTGCTGCTTCTCTCATGGATTCCACACAAGCTGTTCAGGATTCTGTTCCTACAGGTAGCAATAATCGATAGAGTAGACGATATAGGTGGACACTTTCCTTGCTGGCGTTGACCGTAGCGATCGTCAAAAAAAGGTGTGGTTATGTTCGATGTAACTGGTAGATTATGATTGGTTGACAAAAAAACAAAACAGTTGCACATTATAAAGCGAAAAATTGAAATAATTGTCAAAAAAAATAGCAAGTTTTTTCTGGTTTAGCAATTGATCTCGAAGCACGAAGTGAGAGCAACACAAAAAGAGAAAGAATTGAGGATGAACGTAAATGTAGCTACGAAAAAAATAACTAGCAGAAATTTAGATGTCACTGTTTAACTCGCGGAATTCACCAACGGTTGATCATACAGTCGTATCGGTAATAGGAGCCACCTTACGATATGTACTAAGTTTTATGTAAAAAGTTAGCTTAGCAAGAAATTATGCTGTACGAATTGATAGCATCGGACGATCAGCGAAGAAAATATATCGAACTAGGAAAATCACTGTTAATAATCTATTTTCATCGCCATCAGCAAACTGAGAGTCACCAGAAATTTTTGGAGGCTGTATTTGTTTCAAACTATGGGTGAGTGTAATAGCGGCGGGTGGAGATCAAATATAAGCATATTTAGCACTGCACTCTGAGTGTCGACAACGATAACGACTCTATAACCACGATGAATGATGTTTACATCGATATAACGACGGTACATAATATGAATGTTATTTCCTCATCCATTTTATGCCGCCGTCTCTGTGAGCTCTTCAAAAACTTTTTTCCCAAGCAAAATGTTTTATTTCCGAAGATAGATACAGATAGAAATCTACCGGACAGTTAAGAAATGACTGCTTGTTCAGCAGAATTTTGTAGAGAATGACAGATAGTTTAATCTCAATGAAAATTTGACTTCTTTTTAAAATTTTGAATGTACATAGTTATACTATGAATTAATTCTGTTAACTAACTAATTAATTCACTATTAAATAGTTCTGGAGTCAAGAAATTGTTGAAAACAAGATAAATCAGAAATTTGGACATTTCATGATATTGAGGCCTCAACTAAAATAATAAGAAAAAACATACCGTTTTTTTCATTGTAGGCCTTATTTTGGAGTTGAAAATCAAGTCGATTATCGTGTTTCGTTTAAAATTAAAAATTCTTTCATAGTCGATACTACTTGAATGATAATCTCAAATATTCTCTTCTGAAATAGTTTCAATATGATTTCTCATTGGAGGTAGTCTAGGATAGGAAATTACTTTGGCTCTAACATATCTCGAAGATTTCAATAAAAAATTCGATGTTGAAAATAATGAGTTGTTCGATCTCTTCTAACTATATTTCTACGTTCTCTTTCAGAAGGGCATTGTTCGAATGGGATGTTTTGTCCAAGTCTTTATCATAACGGTATGTATGCACTAGACTCTGAAGCGCGTTTTTGAAAAAAATTGTGTTTTTTTAATTAAGTGTTTGATATATTCGACATATATCGTTTACATTAAACGATTACAACAAAAGTACTATATATTTTAAATGGTATGTTCATGTCAACACAAATAATTCATCTATTTTTACATCTCAATAACTATTGTTGTGGCGATAAATCTGGAACAAAAACAATGAAACAGGACCAAGTTTAGATTCATTTAACTTTTCGTTTATCTACTGATTGGTAAGATTATAAAGTTTTTCTGAGTGACGGTAATCCAAAGGAAGAACAGCTGGTTTTTGAGCTTAAAAAACCGGTTTAAATCGAAAATCGTCAAAAATGCGATAACCGCATGCACACAATTAGCGCTTCTCATCATAAAATAGATATACAATTGAAAAATGATAAAAGTTTTTTATCGATATCAAATGGTTAGATTCGTATCAACTAAATGAAACTCGGATAACTTATTGAATTTCTTCATAAAAAGTTATTTTTGTCTTTCCGCAGTGTGTCTTATCGCTTGAGTCAACCACTCGTTCTTCGTTTATCGTAGAGATTTGACAAAAAAGTGGTTAATATTTTTAACAGCTGAGGATGACTTATCATCGATTGACACATATTATTGTTGATTAAAAGTTTTACTGAGACTAAAGAGCCGTTGTGCCATTTTGATTATCTTGTATACGCTGAACATTTCACATCCTTTATGCCTTTCAATTTCTTAGCTTACTGAAATTCTCATTCCGATCAGCGTTAGTATTATCTATACGTAGTCACATAGATAGAATCTTATATATGCCTTTATTGTTTGAGATTTTTCTCATTTCATTTTCACGATTCTTAGATATTGTAAAAAAAATTGCCACATAATGATGCTGTTTCTGATATATCTGGTTTTCTTCGTTACGAATTTTGTTATGTTTAATATTGATCCTATTTGGACCCTTTCTTTGATCCAACTTTATTGCGTTTGTCGATTTCTTCTGGAGTTGAGTTTTCTTTAATTTAATATTAATATAAATATTTGTATTTAATTTCTTAAGTATATGTTGTTCATAGTTATCTGAAATCATCGTAACAACATTACGACTGACATAATAAAAATCCTTAAATTGTGTACAAAGACTGAGACAACACTTGTAAAAAACCAGTAGAAGCGAAGAGGTAGAATAAAATAATCAAAATTAATAAATAGGCTCAAATTCAATTTGCAATGACTACATCTCAAATTCGTGAACGGCAAACATACTTGAAACTCAAAGTTAGACACGTCATAAGTCTAACTATAGGTTTAGTAAAGCATATGCTAAAATACTAATTCAGATAGTTTATCTACAGCTGTTGCATATCTGAATCTTTTTTTTCTAAATCTCTACGACCCTTTCATCTTACTTAGCCCAGATAGCAAGGACCTGCACGAGCATGATCAAGTGATAGAATCATTTTCAGTTTGGGTTTTTTCGATAGAGTTTAGAATTTTATAGCGTTTATTCTTTCTGGATTATCTCTTGCTCCATCGCAAATAATAAAAAATTGTAAGTAAACGAAGATCTAAAATTTTTTATTTGTAATATAGCACACATCACTTATCAGTAACATAGCTCCGTTTTACACCTTTTTTACTTACTACTTTTGGGTAGGATTCTAACATTTAAGATTCTAATAATTTCCTATCAGGATCTTGGGGATGTTAGGATCCTGTCATAAATCTGAAAATGAATGAAAATTCTAAACTTTATCGAAAAACCCAAAATAACTGAAAATGATTCTATCACTTGCTCGTGCTCGTGTAGGTCCTTGTTATCTGGGATAAGTAAGATGAAAGGAGATCTACCGGTTTCCACAAATAAAAATCCATTTTCGCCACGTATATTTTCCTCTTTTGAGCAACCACTCATTCTTGCTTTTTCTGAATCGTAGAGATTTAGAGAAAGAAAGGTTAAATATGCAACAGCTG